CTCCCCGCCTTCACTCCCCGTCGTCCACAGGCTCGGTGCCGCCCCATCCGAAAGCCTCATGTTCCCAATCTCCTTCTCCACCGACCCTCCCTCTATCCTCCCGTCCACCGACATTCTCCTTCCCCTCACGCTCCCACCCTCCTCACCACCCCCCACCCCGCCACCTGCCCCTTTCGACGACCTCCACACGGCCAACTTCTTCTGCGAAGGCCATATCGGCACTTTCTCCGTGGGACAAACCTTACAATCCTTCAAATCGTTCAAGAAAACCTCCTGCGGGTCCCACTCAAGCTTCCCCTCGAGAAGCGAACCGGACGACGGGTAGTAAGTCCCGTTCTGCTCCTTCGGGTCGACCGACCAGTTCCCCATGTAGAAACTCCCGTCGGCCCACTTGAAAGTCCCGTTCCCTTTCGGGAGCCCATCGTCCCAACTCCCCTCGTACGCGTTCCCATTCGTCCACGTCATCCTCCCGACACCGCAAATCCTCCCGTTTTTCCAATCCCCTACGTAACAATTCCCTTTTTTCCATTGGTATTTCCCTTGCCCTTCTTGCGAACCCCGGCTCCATTCGCCTTCATAGCTATCCCCGTTTGCATACTCCTTTAGACCATAACCGTGCTTTAGATTCATCACCCACGAGCCTTTATAAGTGCCCCCGTTTGCTCCTGTGTAGGTCCCGTCACCATCCATGAACCCACTCTTGAAATTCCCTTCGTACATTGCACCTGAAGGCCAGCTGAATACGCCTTTACCCATCGTCTTTCCTTTAAACCACTCCCCAACGTACATGCAACCATCGGTCCACCAATACTTGCCCTGCCCGTGGGGGAAGCTGTCGGCCCAGTAGCCCGCGTAGTAGTCGCCGTTGGGGAGGAATTTCTCCGCGTGGTACACCTCACCAGGAGCGTGTGTTTCATCATATGGGTCGTCGTTCGTTTCTTGATCTTCGACGGAGTTTGGGTTGTTCTCGACCGGGTAAGACGTGCCGAAGATCGTGTTGGCTCGTTTCTTGGCCGCGGCCTGCGTCCTTCGAACGGTCGCCTCCCAAGCCTTCATGATCGGTTTTTATACGATGTCTCGGTTTTTTTTCTCAGGTTTTCTTGGTCTACTACCTGGACATGATGTGCCTGCACTTGCATGGCTCAGTCAGGCAATTTGACAAACAGGTAATGGGTATCATTCAAACCAAACAAAAAAAAGATTCAATCTTTGTTCTTTCTCTCTTGTCTCTGCACTCTATCTCTCTCTCTTTCTTTCTTTCTTTTTTTTTCTCTCTCTACGTCTGATGAAAAATGGGAAGGGAAAGGAGGGGAGCAATCCAAACCAGACACTAGGAACAAAAAATTCCTTGCCTGACATTTTTTGTATATTAATTTTTTTTTTATTGCAAAAAATATTTTTTACGTAATTGTCCTCTGCCATTTTTAGTTCGTGTGCTGAGAATGTGTTATGGAGATGAAGCTGATTGGTTGATGGAATAAACTAAACATAGACAAAAAAAAAGAGGGCAAAAATGCTTTGCAAGGAAGACTTGTTCATCCAGCGTTAACGACGCTTGCAGTTCTCTTACATTCGGCGGTGTATGCGGATTTATGGTCATTATATAGCATCATAAACACACACACAAACACTTACAAGTGTTTTAACAAATCAATTGAATTAATTAAATTAAATTCAAGCTCAGTGGGGTGCTTAAGTTAATTTGAAAAGAAACGAAGCTGGCTCTGATACCAACTGATGCAGACCCTAGTAAGATATTGTCCGTTTTGGACTACTTCCGTCACCCGACTTTGTTCTTGGCTGGGCTTCAATACATACCCACCAAAATGCGTCTTACTAGTGAAGGTATCCACATCCTCATATAAGGCCTGCTTCGTTTCCTTTCAAACTCGATGTGGGATGCGCTGCATCATCCACCCCCTTGTGGGCCCAGCGGTCACCGCTGGCACATGGGCTGACTCTGATACCAACTGATGCAGACCCTAGTAAGATATTGTCCGTTTTGGACTACTTCCGCCACCCGCATGGCTTTGTTCTTGGCTGGGCTTCAATACACACCCACCAAAACGCGTCTTACTAGTGAAGGTATCCACATCCTCATATAAGGCCTGCTTCGTTTCCTTTCAAACCCGATGTGGGATGCGCTGCATCACTCATGTATGTCATAATGATAAAAGACTCCAAAATTTCTATAGTTCGACTTGTTAAACCTCGATTTCGCCTCGAGTTTCGCTTGTTAATATTGATAAATGAGTCAAGCTCGAGCTCGATTATAATCTCGTTAAGGTCCGAGCTCGAGTACCATGTGCTCAAGGTCGGTTAGGCTCGTTTACACCTCTATACAAAACCTGTGCAAGGATGACACGCATAAATGGAGAGCTTTATAAGACTCGAAAAGATGGTTTTTTTTATATAATTTTCTATGATTTTGACACGTAAAAGCTCGATTTTGGCTCGTGCTTAGCTCGTTAATATAGATAAACGAGTTAAACTTAAACTCGATTATAAGCTCGTTACGAGTTCGAGCTCGAGCAGCATATATGAGTTCAAGCTCGGTTGAGCTCGTTTACACTTCTATTCAAAACCTATGCAATGATGACACGCATATATGAAGAGCTATATATAGCTCGGAAAGATATATTTTTTATATATTTTTTTTATAGTTCGACTCGTTAACGCTTGATTTTGACTCGAGTTTGACTCGTTAATATTGATAAACGAGCTGAGCTCGAGCTCGATTATAGGTTCGTTAAGGGCTCAGGCTCGAACTCGAGCAACACGAGCTCCAGCCCGTTTGGCTCTTTTACTCCTCTATGCAAAACATATTTGCAAGAATGACATGCATAAATGGAGAACTCGATAAGACTCAAACAGATGAAATTTTATATAATTTTCTATAGCTCGACTCGTTAAAACTCGATTTCGGTTCGAGCTTGACTCGTTAATATTGATAAATGAGCTGAGCTGGAGCTCGATTATAAGCTCGTCAAGAGCTCGAGCTCGAGCAGCATGAGGTCAAGCCGGTTGGGCTCGTTTAGTCTTATATGCAAACCATGTGCAAGGATGACACACATAAGTGGAGAACTCGATACAAGGCTCGAAAAGATGATTTTTATATTATTTTTTATAGTTGGGCTCGTTAAAGTTCAATTTCGGCTTGAACTTGTCTCCTCAATATTAATAAACGGCTAAATTCGAGCTCAATTATAAGCTCGGTAAGGGCTAAAGCTTGAGCAGCATGAGTTGAAGCTCAGTTCGGTTAATTTACACAACCTGCTTGCAAGGATGACATGCATAGATAAATGGAGCTATGAGTTGCCTAGACTCGAATATATAATAAGTCAAATTTCTCCCGAATAATGTAAAATATTTATAAATGTAAAATTGATGTAAAATTACCGTGCCATTTTAAATATTTTAATCATGCTAGATGCTAGTTCATCGCTACATGAGGTTTGCCAAATAATATTTTTTTATTCATATAAATTTAATTTATATTTGTAAATGTATATATAATCATATTAATATTTTTTTTTTGGTACAGGGACCTTCCGGTTTTCGGATAAATATAAATATAATAATATATAATCATTTTAATATTGAAGCTTCTACATCATATTTTGTACATAATAATGTGCAAATTTCTCCAATTTGTATTTCTATTTAAATAAAATATTTATGTATAGACTAAATATGGGTTCGTATACAAAATTTTACTATATATACGTAGATAGTGCATAAAAAGTTGAGAAATCATGTAGTAAATATACTAAATACTAAAAAGTATTTATAATTAAGGGAGATTCTACTCTCTCGGAATCATTCAGTCGGAGTTTGTAACCGTTAGATCAATTATCCACGACGTGACATCAAAATCTAACGGTTACAAATTTCGACGGATGGTGCAGCATTTTCCTATAATTAAAGTTGTTCAAATAATTTACTGTTTAGAAAAAATAACTCATATTTTTTTTAATAATTCCACGTGTACAAAACTACGTGGATAAAGAGAGGATAACACAAAAATCACCAACAGTCCACCGCGTTCCACAGATCGATCTCTCTCTCTTCTCTCTCTCTCTCTCTCACACACACACACACAGTCACACGCACGTAGTCAGGAGAGAGAAATGGTAACTGTATCTTTCATCTCATCCGCCCCTTCGATGGCGTCGCTGGTCCGATCGCCGTCTACCTCCGCCCGCCGGAAATTCTCGCGCCGTTCAGTAAGTCCTACTTTCTCTTCTTCTCCCGCATTAGCTAGACAGCATTCATTTGTTCTCACGCTTTCGCTCCCTTCTCTAATAGCAGAGCACCATAAATTGCAGAGCTGAGGCTGAAACCCTCGACGAGGAACGCCTCTCACGCCGCCGTGCTCTGCAATGCTTTACTGCTGCCACCGTCGGCGTGGTAAGTTCGTGATTACCAATTTACTACAGTCCTTGCAGTAATTGATAATTACCTTCGTACATAGACTTGACAGTGAATGATTTTTACGGCAATGGTTGTGTGTATAGACGAACGCGCGACTGTTTTTGTATGGATATTAGTGATATCAGAAATTCAGAAAAAAAAAAAAAAATTAAATGATGCCCAGTCTCTAATGGGGCCGATGATAAGCATAGTCATAAATTGTTTTCAGCAAGGATTAGAATGCTAGTAATGTGTGGAAAATCCTCGAAGGGTGGGTGCACAAGAGATAACAGCTATAGTGTGAGATGTGGTTAAAATGTTTAAGGTGCTGCAGGCATATTTTAGCTGTATATTTAGCTTCGCGCATCGGATTTCAGTATCCGTTATTCCTCAAGTCCATTTGGTTGGTGCAAAGGCAGTCAGGTCATGATTATTTTACTGGATTGCCTTATTGTATTGGGTATCGGCCGATTGGCCCTCATTATCAGAAAATAAAAAGGAAATGCAGGTCCGGAGTATGTATATATGGGACAAAGGCCTGAATTCATTGCCAAGTCGCAAATATGTGACGGGATACAATTAGCATGAAGAGTGGACCCTTTCACCTACATTTATATAGGCATATAGCCTGCTAAAAGAAACCTAGATAATATATATTTTTGTTATTGTCCATGATTTAATCCTTATACCTTATGACAATCTTCTTGAACTGTGAGAAAGAGCATTATTCTAGGAAAATGAAACGCAGATACTGATTATTCTATGTGTGTGTGTGTGCGTGTTGTGTGTTTTATCATTACAAATGTTACTGAAACCATGGAATTGGCTTTTGTGGAACTAGCTAATAGTTGGCGGCCAACAAAAGATACGGGAAATGTTTAGGCTATTATTTGGGATGGATCAATTTGTTTGGGATGGATCAACAATTATAAGTGGCACAGTGATGAGTGACTGTTGACTTTTCTCAGGACTTGATAGGAAGATCCACCTCGTTAATTGAAGTGGCTCGTGCAGCTGACTTGATACAACGCCAACAACGTTCACAATTTCAGTGTAAGCCTTTTGAAGTTTCGGTTGGTTACTGCTTATTGTTCTTCAATATTGTTCTTTCTGCTGCCATGTATGATTCAATTTTTATTTTGTAGCCAAAATTAAGGGTATCCTCGCGACAATGTTGAAGGTAAGAGTTCGAGCACTAGAATGAAATCCACTCTTAAAGTAATTGAACATATGGCAGTGATTTGTCTTAAAATCATATGTCATCTGGACTAATACTTACATTTGGTTGTGTTCATTTTTTGTCGTGCCATGCAGGGGAATCCAGATCTTATCCCATCTGTATTAACTTTAGCGCTTAATGATGCTGTGACTTACGATAAGGTCAGATATGGTGTTGCGTGTTCCATTTTTCCCCTTTTTTGGAAAAAATTGAGGAAGGAATATCTTACTTGCTTATGAGTTTGCAGGCAACAAAGTCTGGAGGTCCCAATGGCTCGATACGGTTTAGGTAAATTGAAATGTATTTTGTGTTTCACATGGATGCCGCCTGTTAATAATATTTTTCATGCAAATACAAAATGGTTATTATTATTACAGAATAAACCATTTATATATGATACTTGAAGCTGCAACTGAGAAAAATTTCTCATATAACCTTAATGGTAATTTATGATGATAGAAGTTCATTCAATTGTTAAATTGATTTGACCTTTATCATTCTCGGACTGTACCTGTCTAATTGTACGTTTTGCTCATTATTACAATGGTTTTGCCTTGTCCTCTATATATACGTAACTTGAAGCTCAGAGATCAGTCGGCCAGAAAATAAAAATTTGGCTGCTGTTCTAAGTTTGTTGGAGGATGCAAAGAAGGAAATAGACTCTGTATCCAAAGGTGGACCAATATCATACGCTGATCTCATCCAATATGCAGGTAGTTAATATCCAGAAAATCTGATGATGCACTGTTTTTATGTTTGGAACCAAAATCAAAGATGAAAATAGGCATCATTGATCACATCTCATCTAGTAGAATTGAATACATGAGGATTGTATGGTTCTCTACAAGATGAACTGGTGTAGATCAATTTAATTTATCTGCATGGTCAGATTATGCGACCTATATTACTGAGAATTTAGTGTATGTTCATTACTTTTAAGTTATTATTACAAAAATACTTTTGCTGTTTCATAAAGTTTTGGTGACTCAACAAGTTGTAATAATATTATTTTTCTCTCGTCTCAATGCAGCTCAAAGTGCGGTCAAAACTACCTTTCTTTCGTCAGCCATCCGGAAATGTGGTGGAAATGAAGAGAAAGGGGCATTACTCTACACTGCATACGGCTCAAGTGGGCAGGTTTAGTTTCTCACGGCTGACTTATTGAACATTGTTTTCCTTGTTTGCAGTAGTTCTTTTTCCATTATGCGACTATTCTGTATGCCAAAACTACACAAGAAGTAAAGCATGAAAAAAAAAAAACCAAGTAAAATTAATATCCAAGGAAAGAAAAGAAAAAATTACAACAGAAGCATAATTTATGCGCACCCGTTTTAAGTTTCTTGTGGATGCTTTCAGTTCTTTAGGCTGAATACTTCTTTTGCTTAACTCGATTATACGACTGAGTGTCTATATATGTTGAGTTCTACATAAACAAGGACTGCTTGAGATGAGTCCTCAGTTGCCTTGTTACAAGACGCGTCTATTATGTTGGACATGTTTGTTTGGAATAAGCATGATACTGTTATTACTTGAATCATCCCTCGAAAACCATACGAGATAATTGATAATTTATAAATATAATTATCAGTAAATAATAATTCTTTTTACTTCATGCAGTGGGGCCTCTTTGACAGGCAGTTTGGGAGGTCAGATGCAGAACAACCCGACCCAGAAGGAAGGGTTCCTCAGTGGGAGAACTCCACCGTTCAGGAAATGAAGAATAAGTTTTCCGCTATCGGTTTCGGGCCCCGCCAGGTAAACAGTCGACCATATATTTCTCTATCTCAAATGCAAATAACTTCATAATTGTCGTTACCAGCCCTAGTTACAACTTCCAAGAATATCCCTTTTCTGTTGCAGCTAGCTGTCATGTCGGCATTCTTGGGTCCCGACCAGTCTGCAAACGAGGCATTGCTAGCTTCTGATCCTGAGGTTCTGCCATGGGTTCAAAAATATCAACGCAGCCGTGAGACAGTATCACAAACTGATTATGAGGTGGTCAAATTAATTATCACTCGTCCCGTTTTATTTTCTTTTTCGTCACATCTTCGTCGACCGAAAAGAGAAAAATATAAACTACATACAATACAATAACCTTTCAGAGGAGGAATGCCAAAACATTTTTAGTCGGGCACAAAATTTGTGGTACGGTTTTATGAGATTTTGAAGCCGTCAATTTTACTATAACCGAATGTGGATGATTCTTTAATGTTTCAGGTTGACCTCATAACCACGCTGACAAAACTGAGCTCTTTGGGCCAGCAAATCAATTACGAGGCTTATACATATCCAGTCAAAAGGCTTGATCTGAGCAAACTCAAATTGTAAATTTGCGTGGCTGTGTGTTTTGTTTGTGTGTGAATGTCCATTTTTTTTTTTTTTAAAAAATTTTTAAATAACACGCCAACATTTAATATACATATTGTAGGAATTAATTAGGATATTCATCATAAAATACTTACTTGAAATAGTTATATTCAACGTATTATATTTTCAAAGTCTTAGATTAAATTCGCCTGTCAAGGTTAATAATACCACAAGTAATATCTTACAAACTATGGTAGCTAACTAAATTGGACAACGTTAATTTTTTGTTCAACATAAGTTGACCTGAAAAATATAAATTTAAGTTCAATTTTTTTATGCCGGTTTAGTTATCAGATTTTATTTCTAAAACTTTGGTTATTATAATTTAATTTTTTTTTTTTAAAATATTTGAATTAACCGGATCGATTCAAATAATAATAATTTTAAATTTATATTTTGTTTTGTTTCTATAAATAACAAGATATAATGTAAGATAAAAACATAAAAAATTATGTATATTTATTTATATTATAATTATAACATATTATAGTTATTTCGATAACCAGCCAATTAATTACACAATTATTTCAATTCGTTTGTAGGTTGGTTTTGAACAAAAGTTCGGTCAATTTGATTTCTAAAATTGGTGCATTTTGTCATTTCATTTTTATGAAATCGGATGGTAAACAGACTCGAATTGAACCGACCAATGCAGAAGTGAAAAGAATAGAAACCCCTCACCTATTGTGCTGTTAAATGCAAATCCTACAAAAGCCTTGCACTCTTAATCATGCTTTTAAAATAAATAAATAAATAAATATATATATATATATATATTATAAAATATTACATTTTTATTTATTTATTCATTTGTTCAATATATATAAATTTATCAAAAAAATATATCTACCTGATTACACATATATGATCGGACGGTTTTGCTATTGAACCATCGGATGGCTCGACTTATAGAGTCATCCATAGCTATTCACAAGTGATGTATTAAAACATGTCCTGCAATAAATGCACATTGGTTATGTGTCAATGCATAAAGTTATGGATGACACGACAAAAGAACCATCTGATGACTCCATAGAATTTTTGTATGACTGGAGTCTTATCCATTGTCAAACAAGAGAAAAATTAGCTACACATTATATGTGAAAATAGTTATTTTCACCTCGTTTTGAAGTCTTGTTAAGTTTTTCACACCGTCCAATAAAAAGATAATTTTTTCACCCCAGAAAGTGCGAAAGACATTGTGCGATGAATATGCGACAATCGCGCGATGACATTGTGTGAAAATTAAAAGTGCGAAGACATTCGCATATCCTTTCGCACTTTCTGGGGTGGAATAAGTTAAAATGCGAAGGCATTGCGCGATAAATATGTGACAGTTGTGCGACAGTTTTCGGCTTTCGCATAACCTTTGCATATGTGACAATTATGTGATAAATATGTTACAGTTTTCGCATAACCTTCGCACTTTCTGGGATGAAAAATTTTAACTTTTATTGGGCGGTGTGAAAAACTTAATGTTTCTTTATATTGGGGTGAAAAAAGATTTTTTCTCATATTATTTCTTCTTCCCAACTTTATTGCCTTTATTTTTTCCTAGGACAAGTAAATTATGTAAATTTTCTTTATGCTTCAAATAATTCTCTGTTATATTACCAAAAAAAAAAAAGTGGCACCCACATTTTTCACCAAAATAGACAAAAATAAAATTGTGATTGTACACAAAAGTACTCCACTAGCCCACTTTGACTTGCTCACTCCTTTTTTCCCCTTTGTTTCCTCTTTTTTTTTTCCCCAAAAAAAGGCTCGATTATTTCGCTGCCCTCACACCATTAATATTAAAAAAGATTTGTAATTTCATTTCTTTTACAAAATATTAATAATAATAATGAAAAACAAAAATTCTGCCCCCTTTTCTGTGAGGATTACAAATTGAGCTCCACCTCGTGAAAAAAATAAAAATAAAAATGGATTCTTGCTCTGTTTTCCCAAATCAAAAGGGCATCGTCCTCTGATTCGTGTGTGTACTCCACGCACTGCGGAACAAATCTCACGTTTTCGTGATATATATTTTTTGTTCGGATTAGATAGATGTCTGAATTGGTGGCAAGAACTGGCCGGCATCAGCAGCGCTACGAGGATGGCTACCGCCTCATTGCTGGGTAATTTTTTTATTTTTATTTTTAATTTTTTGTTATTTTTGTTTTTGTTCTTGTGCGCATTGACGTTTTACATGCATGGGCTTTGTGTTGATGTGTGGCTGGCTGCATGAAGAGTGTGGGTTTTCTTGAATTAGGATATAATGTGGAGAAATTTGGGGTTTTTTTTTGCGCTGTTGTGCTCCGGAATTGATTTAGGGCTTTGAGGGCTATTGGGTTTTTTTCTCGTTTGGTGAACGAAATGTGTAGAAATTGTTGGTTCATTTGGTTGTTTAGGTGTTTTGGGTTACTGGGCTTTGTTTAATTTACTTCCGTTTGGAAAATGTAATGTGTAGAATTACAGGCTGTTTAGTCGATTTTGGGTTAATGGGTTTTGTTTATTTAGGGAGGAGATGAGGAAATGTTTGGAGGGGATCTGTTTGGATTAAGAATCAATCTTGGGTTTCGTATTGCTATTGCCCGTTAATTTACTCTTGATTGGTACAAGTCTGAATCAGTTTTCGTCTTGTCTAACCGTCTAACGAGTATCATCATCATTTACAGGTGTATTCCGTTCAGATATAGGAACATGGAAGATGGCAGTGGTTCGCCAGAGAAGATAGTTGAAGTACTAATGATCAATTCAAATAGTGGACCGGGTCTTTTATTTCCGAAGGTCAGAGTTGTGATTTTGCACCTCCTTTTAATTTTTTTTAGATTGATGGGAGTAGATAGCCAATGCATTTCGGATTATATAAACACTTTTCTGCTGCTGAAAAATGAGAACAGTGCAAGAAATTTTTTTTTTTGAATTAATTCGTGGCACCAATCGTTGTTTTTGTGGGATATAATTTCCCTTTTGTTCCTCGTACGTATGCATATTTTTCCTTGTTTCAACCTAAATTGTGCTTTAAATCAACTTGCCCTCTGTCGAGCACCATTTTTCTTTTAACTCCTTACTATTGTCAAAGAACATGTTTTATGCCCTTTGATTACTAATTACTAATTAGACGGAATCTAATGACTCAGAGGTTCTTATATATGTCTTAATCAAGTGTTATGCTGGGCTGGACATCAATTGAGTTTGTGTCATACATAAATTGTGGTAACATGTTCATCATTAATATGTTATATTACCATGTGCTTTCTCTATGATAGATGCGTGAACAAATTGATATAAAGTAACATTTTTTAGATCAAGCTCTTTATTTTCTTTATATAGGGTGGATGGGAAAATGACGAGACAGCTGAGGAAGCAGCTGAGAGAGAAGCCATGGAAGAGGCTGGAGTTCGAGGGGACTTAGTGGTAGGATACTGGAACTTATTTCTTGTCCTTAATTTTGCTCAATTACGATATATTGGTATATACATTCTCCGTTTTCATCCATCCGCCGTTGATATAACATATAGTGCTTAATGATGGTGTCAAAGTACTCGTCTCTGAACGTTATTGGTTGATTTATACAAACTGCTGCAATGTTATAGTTTCTAATCAGTATTTCCTTATTAACATAGGCTTCTGGTGTCTTTTGTCTATGAAAAAAGCTTTTATGTGGTGATTGGGCCTTTCAATGATGCCTGCACTCTCACAATATTTGATTATTTTCCCCAATTGTTAATGTTACTTTGATCTTCTGAATAATACACAAAGATTCATGTCGCTATATTTTGATCTTCTGAATAATACACAAAGATTCATGTCGCTATATTTTGATCTTCTGAATAATACACAAAGATTCATGTCGCTATCCAACCAGTCAATGTAGTGGTATGTTGATTGGCCCATGTCAATGTGTAACTAATTGGACCTTCGAATAATTATTTAAAAAATATTGCAATTAGTAAAGTTTGGCATAAGAGATAAATTATGCTCTAGATTTACCAAACTACCCACTGGGTTAAATTTAGTTGCCAAAAAATCCAGTTATCTTTGAAAACAAAGACTAATTGAGTGCACCTATTGAGGGGGTAACAAGTACAACAAGCACAAACTTGAAGGTAGCATTTTGTGATAATACCTTGAGTGTTTATTAATTTTGAAGAGTTTTCTTTTTTTTTTTTTGCCATTCCTTTCTTGTGGGTGATTGCTATACATATTTTTCCTTCCATCATTCATATACTGAATCCTACATTTCCCTTCTTTTTTTTTTTCAGCATTTTCTTGGTTGCTATTCTTTTAAGAGCAAAACACTGCAAGACGATTATAGCCCGGAAGGTCTATGTAAAGCCGCAATGTATGCCTTGCATGTGAAGGAGGAGCTCGATTGCTGGCCGGAGAAAAGTCAACGGGAGAGAAGTTGGTTGACTATATCGGAAGCCGTTCAATGCTGCAGGCACGGTTGGATGAGAGAGGCTCTTGAGAAAGGCTTTTCGAAATGGTATGCAGATGGTATGATCAGCACTCTCCGAAAAAGGGATGAGTCAGATTAGTACCTTTTTTTTTTTTCTTTTCTCAAGAAGTTTCCAGTTTGGTTTCCTTATCTGAAGCAGTTTGTTTCTAGTTTTACTTATATTTTGTTTATGGAGTAGAAGGAAAATATGGGATTGAGATGGAAATTTACTGTTATATTAAGGTGTTTACGAAGAACAAGGAATATACTGGTCTTTCATCTCACCATTAGATGCAAATACTAACTAGGCTCATTCCACATCTGATGTACACCCTAAAAGAATTCACTGAGATTCAAAAGTACACACAACAGATTATATATATACTTTTTTTATTTAAGTTTATGTACAATAATTTCAACATAATAATTATGGTATGGGCTTAAACTTAGATACCTAAGTTTGTTTTTAGAGGTATAATATAAGTTTGTTTTTAGAAGTATAATATAATTGAATTGGCACACTTAAATATTTTTTTTACGTTATTGCTTAAATTTGGTACGGTGTAACAATTATAAAACACTACCAAGCAAAATTTTAAAAAATACCAAACTCTAAAAATACCAAACTCTACAAATTACTGAAAATTACGAAGCTCCATTGGCTGCGAAAATCTTTAAAACTTGGAAAATCTTTAGAGAATATTAGTTATATCTATTTTATTTTTCCTTGTCATAAAAACTATACAAACTATACAAAGAAAAACCTTACATCTTATTTCTCTAACTTTTTTTCACACATTTTGCATTTATTTATTTATTTTTTCATACATTATTAAAAAATCTACAAATCTACTACTATTATTTCTTCAAATATATATAAAGGCATTTCGACCTTTTTCAAACGGTCTAAATTCAACTTCTAAACTATTCAAATACAACATAATAAAACAATAATATGACAATCTACGAAAACAATTTTTTAAAACATTATAAAACAATAATATGACAATCTACAAAAACAATTATTCAATCTCCATATAATATATATTCTTTTAATAATTTCTCAAAGCTGGCCCCTCAATTGAGCTAGGGCTACATGAGTACACCCTTTTGGAAAATAATAAATCATTTGATAACAACAATTAGCCATATAAATGTTCCTCAAAATGATTATATTATCAACTTTAAATATACACTAATTATCATCCAAAAATCAGCTTATATACCCGAAATTTGGTCCTATAGTTTGAGGAGGAAAGGCCCACAAAGGAGCACGATGTTGGTCTTATAGTTTAATCAATTTTCGTCCTTTTTTAATTAAATTTTAATTCATGTTCAGGATAAAAATGACCAAATTTGATTAAAATAATAAATTTTAGGACTAAATTTGAAAGTGGTCAATATCGAGATGATTTTTTGGAAGGTGGTCAAATTATATGACCAATTTTAAAATTATGCCCATCATCAAGATATATCATCTGCACCTTCATTCCAAAACTCAGAAGCCATTAGCCCCTGAAAGCTATCCTCCATCTTGACCGGGTCAAAAACTCCATCATGTCCGTATTCATAACCCGACCCGAATCCCACCAGACTCGGCCCGTTTCGTGCCCCTTCGCAAACATCGTGCCCCTTTGTGGGCCTTTCCTCCGCTCCATGCCGGCTGGAGTCGACACGAACCGCCGTGGGCCCGGCAGAATCCGGCGGTCCGGAGTCTCGGCCAGTGAGCTCCTGGACGAGGGCCCGGAATTCGGAGGCAGTGGCCGTGAACTTGATGGGGTTTGTTATGTGGACGACTTTGAGTGGGCCTTTCTTCTTGGGGTTGCTGTTTGGGTTTTGTTGTCCGTGTGGCCTTCTCTCATTTTTCTGTTCCATTTTTTTTTTATTTTGTTTTCTTTTTATTTTTTTATTTTTTTCTGGTGCAAGGCTCAGCAAAGATTTCTTGTGAGGAAAATGGGAGCAAATGGATATATAGTGTGAGCATATAAACACGTGTGTGTGGTGGTGAGAGTAATTAATATGAAAGCGGCGTGTATAAATAGTCAAATACACACGTGCGTGTGTAGAACTGTGTGATGATACCATTACCTATATCACAAAATTTTATGGGAGGCGGTCTAACTGTTAAGCGAATCGAATTGTTATACTATCATTTTTTAAGTAAAATATATATATGTACACTATGAAATGTCATGCACATGCCTTCGATTTACTGCACAAACTTAATTTAGAGTTAGGTTTAAGTTCTAATAAAAATAAATGAAAACAATTTTATGGACGCTAGTTTGATATGACTATAAAACAAAATAAGTTGCTCTCGAGCTCGTTTCGCTCGACTTGTTGGGATTAACTTTTATGCAAATTTATCCGTCTTTAAGGCTTTAAGACGAACCGGGCCTGTTGATATAGCTTAGAAAAGGGAAAAGAGACCTCACCTTCTTGAGCATGGTTCACCTAGGTTTCGCCTTCCTGTTGCTTCCCCTAGCAGGATAGAAAGTAATTTTGCTACATTAGCAAATATTAAGCGGATTAAGCAAAAGTAGTCAGCTCGATGTAATTGACCTTTAGCTCTTAGCTCTACGGATGATTAAGAAGGCAGGATCAAAGCGGGTGACTGCCGAGCAGCAGCACTGCTCGTCCTGGCATAGCCGTATGATTTCGTCACAGATTGTATTGTCTCATCCCGGCTTGTAATGGCGAAAGCTAGATTTCATGGACCAGGTTGCCCAATTCTTTTGATGCGCACTCATTGGTCTCTGTCTCGAGTGTCGGCCTGTGAGTCGAAGATCTCTGTCTCGTCAACCATTCTAATTCCTAACCTGGAGGTTGGCTTGAGAAAGCTCGCCCAAGAGAAGAGAAAGAGATAAAAGTCAGTCGTCCAATGGATTTGTCAGATGGGGTGCAGTGCGCCATTCAACATCAAACTCATGATTCATGTACTGCAATTCTAGACAGCACTCGCAAAGGGAAAGCCCTTACTTATAAAATGAATCTAATTCTTCCTCCAGAGTTTCTGCCACTAGGCCATCCCTTAAGAGATAGGCGAGCAGGACGTTAAAGTAGGTGAGCCGATAGGAGTGGTCATCGTGTGGTAAATTTTGGGATTGAATAGATTGGCAGGTCTGCTTGTACCCGAAGACTCTGCTACATAAGATCTTCATGGTTCATAGGTCAATTGCATCTTTAGAAGTGAAGTCGTAGAAGCTACTGATAAGACAATTGTTGTGGGAGTTGAAGGATCGAAGGCGCAGGTAAGCGGGGGTCACGGATTTAGTTCAATTATATCGAGCCTGACCTATAATAAGGTTCCGAAGGAGGCTAAGCGATCAGAGGAGGAGAGTCCAGAGAGGAGGAAGCGAAGCGCAGTAAAGTCAAAAGTATTGGCGAAGTGAAGTCATAGAACCTCCCTGATAGCACGCCTATGACGTTCTACGCGTTCTTAGTCTCAAGCTAGTTTTGATTTTTCGAAGCTCCAATTCATTAGGGGGTATGGAGCCATAGTTCTTCGAAGTATCGCGTGCTAAGCTTCGTGCAGCTAAGTTAGCCGAACCCAAGCCTAGCGTCTAGAGGAGTCAGTTAGCCATAGGGGCGGTCAGAGGCACCGGCTAACTAATTCCAGATAAATACTCCTCAGGGTTCCAAACCTGCATCATAGAGACAATTGGGGCGCTACTTTGTTCCCCTACGCTTTTGTTAACTGGGTTTCATTAGGTGGTTCGGACTATCTTCTTGTAGCAATTTATGTACTGTTTTCTTGCTCAAGAGAGAATAGCTAGTGGTGACTCTCTCGTCTTGAAGTAAGGGTGATGGCTACATGGGTATCTCTTCCTTTGGATTTTTTGAACTTCTTGCAAAATTCAGTTCGTTAAGGCTCGATTTGTTCGGGCTCATGATTAACGAGTTGAGCTTTTTTAACGGCTCGTTAAGTTGGCTACACAGGGGTTCAGCCCATGATCAAGTATCAAGAACTCGAGCCTGAGCTCAAAACATGAGATCAATTTGTTTACTTTTTTAGTTTGTAATATGCAACGTATTAAATTTGAAACTTTTTTTTTTGTGTGTGAGTGCGAGAGAAGTAATTAATGCTACATTTGAACTCGACTCGAATAGTGAATTAAAGCACGTGTAGAAGTGTCAAACTTTGCAATTGAAGATCTAAGGTGAGATTATAATTCAAGCAACATTTGATATTATCATTTTCAATTTTGATCCTTGATATCTATTTCCTTCCTCAGTTTATGGATAAAATTTAGGTTATA